ATGTAGTGCATGGTAACTATAGTTAATAATACTGCCACCGTATATTTGAAAGTTGCTAAGAGAATAGATCTTAAAATTTCTCATCACAAGAAAAAAAAAAATGTAACCGTGTGTGGTAATGGATGTTAACCAGACTTATTGTGGTGATGACTTCACAATATAAAAACAAAAGACAAAAGAAATGAAAATACTTATCACTGGATTAAAAAAGAAGAGAAAGATCTGTGTGTGAGTGTGTGTGTGTGTGTATAGCCATCTGAGAGCTTACTATGTGCCAAGTACTGTGGGAATTATATGGATAATCTCAATCAATGCTTATAAGAGCTCCCGGAAGCAGACAGTGTTACTATGATTTCCTTTTTACAGACGAGGAAACTGAGGTCTGAAGAAGTTAAGTTTTCTCTCCAAGTTAACAAACTAACAAAGCTAGTACTTGAAGAGGCTGAATTATGAAACCAGGTGATCTGATTTCACAGCCCCCATACTCTTAAAAGATTTTAGTTTTCCTTTTCCTCCGCAAAGCCCCCCGGTACATAACTGCGCATTTTTAGTTGTGGGTCCTTCCAGTTGTGGCATGTGGGATGCCGCCTCAGCATGGCTTGACCAGCAGTGCCATGTAGGCGCCCAGGATTCAAACTGGCGAAATCCGGGGCCTCCGAAGCAGAGAACACGAACTCAACCACTCGGCCACAGGGCCAGCCCCAGCCCCCATACTCTTAAAGAGCATTCTGCTATACAAAATACATACAGCCTAAAAAAGAAACGTATTCTCTAGCTTTTTGTGTGAAAGTAAAAGAATAGTTGGTAGAAAGAGACATAGGTGTCCCAGGCAGCTTTTTTATCCTCCCAATCAGTGTATAAAAGACAAGTTGTCTTGGTTTTTAATGTTTTTAAAGTGGGGGACGGTGTAAATGATGGTCAAGAACATACGCCTGGTTTAAATCCCACCTATGCCTTAGCCATGCGCCTTACCTAATGTCTAAGCCCCTGTTTCCTCCTCTGCAAATGGGAATAATTATACCAATCGCACCTTTTCTTTAAAATGGGGTCCTATTTGTATTAAGATTTTTGAAAACACAAAACAGGCTTATTTTTTAAAACATACTTAGTAAAATGCAACTGCTGCCACCACCTAAGTATTTAACAGCTCTGAAACTACAGGTGAACACTTACCTCTATTCAGAAAAGTTAGCACAGTTTATAAAAACTGTTTCTAAATACTGCTATTATGTTACTTGAGAATGTATCTAAAGAACATTGCTCTCTGACCACTTGTCCTAACAATGGTAGAAGACTTTTCAGGAAGTTAGTATGTCAGTTATCCAATTTGTTAACAATAACTGAGGTTGGATTAAGTATCAGCTCTTGGCTAAACATTACAAAGGATACAAACAAGCAAAATACATGGTCTCTGACTTCAAGAGTTTATAATCATTGTTAAAACAAAAGGATCACTCATGAAAGTTACATCAAAAAGAAAGACATTTATGTTTTATGATCCACAAGAATAACAGAAAAAGATGAGTATAAACTGGAGGATAAAAGTTTGGTTAGACTCTGAGCTAGCTTTGAGGAGTAATTAAGATTTAGACTGGTAAAGAGAAGAGAAAGATGCATTCCTGATGGAAGGTAAGCATGCAAAGGCAAAGCGACAAAAACAAACATGACATGCAGAGGACAGGAAAGAGAGAAATCTAACTATGAGGACTATACAAAATAAATTTCAATTGGGAAGTCACGTGGTTTATGAAAGAATTGGCTTTCTGGTTGAGAAGTTTAGATTTGCAAAAAAGAGCCACTAAAGCAAGATTCTTAATACAAATTTTTACACAATATTTAAATATATAGTCATGTTTCCTGAATTAGAAATATTCACTGTCAAAAAACAGTATGTTTATATTTCATTGAAGTTTACTTAAAAAAAAAAAAACTGCAATGTTGGGGCTGGCCCCATGGCCAAGTGGTTAAGTTTTCGAGCTCCGCTTCGGTGACCCAAGGTTTCCCCAGTTCGAATCCTGGGTGCGGACATGGCACCACTCATCAGGCCAGGCTGAGGCAGCATCCCACATACCACAATTAGAAGGACCCACAAGTAAAAATACACAACTATGTACCAGGGGGCTTTGGGAGAAAAAGGAAAAATAAAATCTTTAAAAAAAACCCTGCAATGTTAATTGTGGCTTTTTAATTTTTTAAAAGAGACTTACGGGATAAAATCGTCCCATTCACAACAACATGGATGGACCTTGAGGGTATTATGTTAAGTGAAATAAGCCAGATAGAGAAAGACGATCTCTGTATGACTCCACTCACATGTGGAAGTTAAACACGTAGACAAGGAGAACAGATTAGTGGTTACCAGGAGAAAGGGGGAGTTGGGGGGTGGGCACGAAGGGTGAAGTGGTGCACCCACAACACAACTGACAAACAGTAACGTACAAATGATATTTCACAAGGTTGTAAACTATCATGATCTCAATAAAAAGTTTAAAAAAAAGAGACACGTTTTAGAGATGAATACTGAAATATTTACAGATGAAGTGACAGAATTCTAGGATTTGCTTTGCTTCAAAATAATGAGAAGGGGAAAGGTGGATGACCTTGAGTTGATAATTGCTGAAGCTTGATGATAAATAGAGGGAGGCTACTTATCCTATTCTGACCACCACTTTTTTAAAGATTTTTACTTTTTTCCTTTTTCTCCCCAAAGCCCCCAGGCACATAGTTGTATATTCTTAGTTGTGGGTCCTTCTAGTTGTGGTATGTGGGACGCCATCGCAGCGTGGCTCAAGGAGCAGTGCCATGTCTGCGCCCAGGATTCGAACCGACGAAACCCTGGGCCGCCTGCAGCGGAGCACTCGAACTTAACCACTCAGCCACGGGCTGGGCCTGACCACCACTTTTTTATATGTTTAATACTTTCCATTACAGTATTTTTTTATCTACCAAATTAGAGCATTACTGGGAAAAAAGATCAATATTCACATAGTGATTAACTGATTCTAATATTCCCACAGATTTTTTACAACCACTTAAACATGATGAAAGACTGACCAAATGAAAGGCTATTAGGGTCTACTAATCAAAGCTTTACAAACTGAAAGCTAATTCAAAAAATTCTGCTTGCTTCAGAGAAGACTTCATAGCTGTGATCAATTTTAAGTCAAAATAATTTTACTATATTTATATTTTTCACTTTTTTTAAATTTTAAAAAATCTAGTTAAGATACTACAAACCAAACACAAACCAGATACTATTAGAAGGAGAAGTTCATGTCAATCTTAAACCAATTTGATTTGTGGTTCCAGATACTGAAATGTAACCTTTCCTGCAGGGACAATGTTAACACTACATGCTGGCAGGCATCCCAACAGAAGTTAATACCAGCAACACATGGCACTATCCACCACCTCGCTCCACCTCCAAAAGAAGAATGGCATCAGGGACTCACTCATTCCATTTCTTTCTTCCTGTTACCCACAAGCAGGTGGCAACATAACACCAGTTTCAAAAGTTACCCCTCTTCAGAAATAGATGACCACTGCAACAAATCCCTGAACCTTTCTTGCAAAGGAATAATTTGCTTTCACCCTGGCTTAAAGAAATGTTATGTAAAAGCAACTTTATTATTCTGAGCGTACATTTCTTGAACTTCACCAATAAAAAACAAACATTTATCATCTCATTTAATTCTCAATGCGACCTTATTCTACAGATGAGAAAACGGATTTAGAAAGGTTAGGTCCCTTGTGTAAAGTCCCACTGACTATATGTGTCGGAGACAGGATCTGAATCTACATCAATCTAACATCAAAGTGCATGCTCATAACCACCTCACTATATTACCTCCCATAAAATTAAACTAGTCTATGATCAATGATGTATATTATGGACATAAAGATCCTCATATAACGTGACTTAAATTTAAAGCAACCATCAAATCTTAAAGTGGACTTACGGGGTGATTATCTTTTTAATAAATGTCTAATTCAACATGAGGATATAATCTATAAATAAGAGATTAAGTGATTTCTACTTCTTATTTTACTATACTTCCCACATTAGTTTTATAATGAAAAAATCTTTAATCAATAAGTCAACTTTAGTTTCAAATAAATTTTTCTGCTATTGAATGAAACCCTCTAAGTTTAAAAAATTTCTTAAGTAAATGAAAGTTTCCAATTGAGCTTTAAAGAAAAAGTGGTCATTTAATTATCTACAAAGTTCAGTAACAGTAAATTAAAAAATTACTATCAAATGTTAAAGCCAACCAATTCAATCTTGGAGCAAAATGTTTACCATAATAGAATCAGAGGTTCTCAGAGAAAACACTGATCAGGCCTCAACACTTCCAAATATTGAATGAGAACCATCTGGCTAACTAACTCCATTTTCAGAAGTTGTTTGATTTTAGTAACAGGGGTAAGAGCCATCAATTTTAAAAAATCATTCTTTTGCATTTATGCATCTCCCCAGAATGTCCACAAGGACCGCTAAGTTATCATCTGACCTTTTACCTCTTCCAGCTCTGGTCTGTACATACTACATTATTGGAGTAAGATACGAAATTCGCAGACATTCAACAATAAGAGCCTGGCAAGTTATTTTGCAAAGCACCTTGGCACACAAACATAAACGGTTAAAATGTATTTCTGCTATCAGTAACGTGCTTTTTACAAGGAAATCTGTCAGTAGAGCAGAACTACTTAACTCACCTAAACCTCACCCAAGCAGAGAGAAAATGAAGAATTAAGGAATAAAAATGCCAATATGAAAGTTTCCTTGTGTGTTTTGAAAAAGGGAGGATCCACCGAAAGTCCTTAGAAAACGTAATACTTGTTATTTTTCTCTTCGATTCCCAGTTGGCTGAGCTGGGCTTTCTTGTGTAGGAACTGACCCTGGACTGAACTCTACGCTGAGCCAGTGAAATGCCGGTGAATTATCGATCCCCCGTGGGAATCGGATCTCTCTAGGTCTTCCCTTCTCTACTACTTCCCAGCAGGAACTGAGCGCCGAAATCCTTAAACTCCAGGACAAATCACTTCAGTCACCCCTGCAACACTCTCCATTCAGCTTCGACCCCGTTTCACCTGCGATGCTGACACAGGTAAGCGCCTCTTAATAATCCCACCCTGACAGATGGGCGAGCTACAGTATGTTAACTGCGGTGAAACAGCCATCCCGAACGCGCTTTCAACCGAATGAGACTCTGCGAATTGAAGCGTCAATTGCTACAGATATACTCCCCGCCAAATCCATTCTCCTTTGAGAGATGAGGGCATCGGAAACGGTCTCATTTACAACACAGAGACACACACCCCCCCTTTCTCCAAGATTTTCTTAAGCCACATTTGGGGAAAGTGCTGACCCAGACAGACGCACATGCATTATTGCTATCCCCATCATCTCATGCCCGACCGCCCTGGAGGAGTCTGGGGAAGAGGAAAATAAAAAGCGGGGGCTCCATGTCATGCTCATGGTTTGTCCCCCAAAGTTCCAAGTGCACGTTAGGCTCCTGCAGCTGGAGCCTCCATAGAGGGAAAGAGAAGAAAGAAAAGGGGGCGGGGAGCGGGTGTTCTGCTGGAAGAAGCCCCGACGGGGCGTCCGCTCGGGGGACCGGATTTCCCTCGCTTTCCCTTTCCCCCCACCCCACCCCACCCCAACCCGAGTCGGCCCGCGGATTCCTCCCCCGCCGCCCCGGAACAATGCCGCCGCCGCCGGGACCCCCGCCCCCAGCCGCCCGCCACTCACCACCCAGGTCAGCGCCCCGTTGCCGCCGGCTCCCGCGCCGCCGCCGCCCGCCTTGGCCATGGCGGGTGCCTCCGCTCACAGGCCCCGAGCCCGCCGCGGCCGCCGCTCCCGCCTCCCTGCGGGCCGCCGGGCCCCGCTGCTCCGCACCGACCGCTCCGCAAGCCGTGCTCCTAGCGGCGCCGCCCCCCGCGCCCCATCGCCGAGACCCGGGGCGGACGCCCGGCCGTGCCTGCCGAGGAGGCCGCGCCGCCCGCCGCCCTCAAACTCGAGGCGCGGCGGCCGCTGAGCCCGGGCCTAGCGCGGCCGCTGAGGAAAAGGCGGAGGAGGAGGAGGAAGCGGGAGGAGCCGGCGGCGGCGGGGCGGCGGGGCGGCGGCGCTGCCTCCTCGCCCGCCCGCGGGCGCCGCTCAAGCGGGGCCGAGGCCCGGAGGCGCGAGCGTCGAGCGCGGCCGCGGAGCCCGGACCGTCCGGACGTGGCGGGGACGCAGAGGCGCCTTGTCCTTCCTCACACTCCGTGAAGGCCGGTCGCTCGGGGGGCCGGAGTCACCGCTGCTGCTGCTGCCTCAAAGGCCGCCTTCGTCGGCCTCACTGCAGCCCCGGCTTCCTCACATCCAAGCACCGAGAGGGACAATACACAGAGCCGCCGCCGCCGCGGTCGCCTCCCTCTTGTCCGGCATAACAGCACACACACATTCACACACCCGGGAGGGGGGAGCGAGGGCGCGGCGGCCACCCCCCGCTGTCAGTCAGCGCCTCGCCGCCCAATCGGGGCCTTGTCGCTACAGTCTCTCGGCCAATCCCAAAATTCCAAGCCCCCTGAGGGGCGGGACCCGAGGGGGAAACGTCATTGCGGGTAGCAACCGAAGGGAAGACTTGGGCTTTTTTGTTTGTGTGTGTGTCTGTGGGTTTTCCGTTTGAAGGCAGAGCAGGGGCTGCTGTCAAGGGTCATCTGAGGGCGGCAAAGGGATAGGGTCGACTTGGCCTCGGGTCGATTGTAATCCTCCGAGCGTTCTGTTTACACCAAGACGTGCCAGCGAAGCCGAGGCATTTCTTTGCCCTGGGCCGCTGGGGGGGGGCGGGGGTGGGGGGCAGGAAGAAGCCGGGGGCCGTCCCAAAGGAAAAGTATTTTTAAAGAGCGGTTGTAAACCACAGGCAAGACGTTGTAGATCACCGGTGCAAGGAGGGCCCCGTGACCCCGGCCTCCCCAAGGCCCCCAGTGGACGCTGCTCTCCAAAGAATCCTCTACTCAGCCCTTCCCCTCCTCCATCTCCCTCCCCCCTCTCCTCCCCTCACCCGCAAAAGGGTTACCGTCAGTTTCACGAAAGCTGCATTTAAAGAACTTAAATGATAAGGGACACATAGAGAACGTTCCAGAGAAAGAATGCAGGTTGGGTGGAGGGTTCTGTTTTACTGTTAGTTGACCTTTCTCTTTTCTCTGAACAAAGCAGAGATGTCACTGTCACTTTTCTTTCTCATCAGTCCAGAACTATGCCTGCTACCTCTAAGAGGGCATGTTTAATTTTTTAAACTGCTTTCAGTGGAATTTTAAATGCACACTAAGGAATAATTTCATACACATTAAAGCTTTCTAAGAATGAAAATTACCCATAGAGCCACACCAAAGTCTTTGGCAGATGGAATATGGCTTTACTTCACCCTGCTCCTCGGTGTAATTCCATTCAACAAGTATTTATTGGGCACATGCTCTGCCACGCTGTGCCAGGCTTGGCGGTGGGTTCAAAATAAAAACAGGGCCTCTGATTTCAAGTCATTTATAATCTGGCTTGTGAGACAGACTAAAAAAAGGGACTTCACTGTCACCAAAATGAGTACCTGAGGGCATGAAATGCTACCAAATAGTTGTGACAAGAGAGCTTTTTAAAAAGATGAAAAAACGTATCGCTGCTTTGTGAAAAGGTGTTTTTGTGAGCTTCTCTTCCAACGGTGCATTTCCTCTCAAGGGAAAACAAAAATGTCTCCAGTCACATCTTTCAGCTGCCTTCTCAGTCCAGAGAGGTGGGGAACTCTGAAACATGGAAATAATTTAAACACCGTTTTTCTTAATTAGCTCCCTAGTGGCCATGTAATTTTGACGTATTTGGGACTTTGGTTCAGAACAGTGAAGCCTTTCTTTACCTTGAACTTGAGGTGCAAGCTTGTAAGTCAGACAGACCAAGGTCTAATCTGGGCTCTGAACCTGACCAACTAAGTGTCTCTGCCTTGTTATTGAACTTCCTGAGCCTCTGCTCCCGCCTCGTTGAAATCAGGAGTTTTGCTCTTGGACTTACTGTGACTTTACTTCCTCAAAGTACACAGTTTATAAATTTGAAAGGGGGTAAATAATTTTAAAGGCTGTGAGGGCTTTTTTAAAGAAAGGTATATGCATTGAGTAGAAGCCAAGCTATAAAATACATAGCCGTCCCTTTTTTAAACTTTAGTTTTCAAAGCTCCTCAGGGTCAATTTTGAAATGAAATATATTCAGAAGTCAAATAGCTTAATTAATGAAAACCATGTTCATCTTTTCACTTGCCTCATATGTGAGGCATTGAGTTCTTGAGCCTTCGGTATGAAGACCCTCTAATAAATGTAATTTATTTTATTCTTATGAAAATACTGACTGACTTAAAAGGAGCACAAATAAAAGTGTTGTTGGATATACATGCAAATCAACAGTCTAAGGCAGAGATTCATGACGAATGGGAGAAGGTATCCAGATCAAAATTATCTCAGCTCCTGAAGAATTGTTGGTCTTTTTAACCATGTGTAACAGACTTAAGAAATCTTTATGATAAAGTTGATTGTACCCAACTTTAACACAGCTTTCCCTTTTGGGGTTTTGTGAAATCATTTTCGTTTACAGAGTAATTATAGCAATAATTGCCACATTAAAAAGCTTCTATATCAGGTTTGTCTTGTTTGGTTGGAATACTACTGTATTCATATGTGTACATTACATTTAAAGACTTAATTTCCACCCCCTAGCAAACACCAGCCAAAATGAAAAATTGTAGAAATCAAATTCCATAAACTGTAAAAATAAAGGCCTTTATTTAATCAAGTGTTTTGAGTAGCTTCCATGGGAGCTTTTCCTAACTACTTTAGAATTTTTATTTTTAGATCTTATGTTTCCCTATTGTAGCAATCAAAAAATATCTATTAAATACCTACAGTGTGTTAGTTACTCAGGACCTGGGACTTCAAAAAGGTGATGACAATGTGGTCTCTGCCTTGAGTTCACACCTTGCATTATATAGTTTTGAGCTAATCTTTTCATCAAAATGCAATTTTATATTTATTCATTTGCTATGAGAAACAGTTTACCTGATGAGTCATACCTATCATCACACTTTACACACAGTAGGTAATTTAACCAAGAACAAAATAAATTAAGTAAGAAGATAGTAACTCAAAACTGTACTTCTAGGCACCTGGAAATGTTTCAATAGAGTTTCTACCTTCAGCATGTATTCTTCTCACACTGAGATTCAGTTGAGGAACTCAGGGACTAATCTTTAATCTAGTGAGCACTTAAATAAATTAATATTTGAATTCAAAATTCAATGTCTGCAATTTTACCTCTCCCTCTCATTATGTTAGTGTTTATGGATCCTTTATATACACAAAGTTGCTAGGCTAAGAACAAGAAAAAAAATGCATAATGTCTGGCCTACAGTAAATTCAAATGGTTGTCCAGGTAATAACTATTAAATGTTGTAAATGTAATTTAGTTTGTTATATTTCTTTAGAAGTGAGCTCACGGTGGAGAAGAAAGCTGCTTTCAATGTAGCTTTTTGGATTTCAGCATTTCTGTAGTAGATATTATAATAGATTGCTAACTCTGATTTTTGAGACTAATTATTTTATAATTAGCTATAATTAATATAGCTCCAAATAGTTTATAAGTATGGTTTTACTTTTAAAAAGGTACTTAAGCACCAGAGGGAACAAGTGTCTATGGATGGCTGAAGACATCAATGGCCACCACATTTCTGAGTATTATCACCACTGGGAAGACAAAGGCTAAAGGTCTTCAATTTCTACTGACAGTAGGTATGGGATGTTCGTTTTGTTTGACTTATTTTGGTTTGGAGTTTGTTTTGGTTTTGGCCAAGTAAACTATGTTGATCCTCTGGTAATGTCTCTAATTACTTGTATAGACAGAAGGGACATTTTCACTTATTTTAGATGATACTGATCAGCAATAATTCAGGACTCACCTACTCTACTGAGTTATATAATATGGAGAATATAATTAGCATATGCCTTAGTTAAAAAAGCTGTTTTTTGGCCTTTGAAAGGGCCTAATATTAGGTTTGGACTTTTTGAAAAAGCATTTTGTCCTAAGAAAAATCCTGCTTTGGGGGACATTAGATGCCATTATTCACCTAACTTTCACCAACAGAATATTATACAAGTCTAGCGTGTGTGGCTAAGTTGTATTTGAAGTTTCTGGTTGCCCAGAGTCATCTAATTCCATTACTCAGTAAGTTTAAAAGACTGAGAACTAAAGAAATACGATAACAGTGGCTTTCCTAACTCAACTGTTTCCATTTCAGAAGAGCTGGGAACTCTAAAGCTGGAGTTGCCAAGTTGCTTTCATTCTGCATTATATTAAAAAATTTAATGATGGGGGAGGGAGCCTAGGAAGTATGAGAAATACCTACACCAGAAGAATCTAAGATATAAAGCCTTCAAGTTAAAGGGGTTTCTAGAATAGAACAAAAGAGATACCTGTAAGTTATCTAAGGTGATAATTAATCAGGACTTGGAAAACATACCATCTTTTAGTGTGCCAATTAACAACAACAAAAAAGCAATTGCTCCCTATTTCCAAAACAGTTAAGCACAGATTAGACAGGATATCTTAGATAATACTAGCCAGATATCTTATATAATTGGTATTTTTGTCTATCACCTTTCTTCTTTACTTTGAGAGTGCTGTCTGAATGTGGAAGGATCCATAAGAAGGTCCAAGAATGCTGACTCTTTAAGGAATATATTTCTGGTTTAAATGTTGTTTGGGAAAAGTAAAAGAACAAGACCAGCCTGTTGGGTAAATGGTACATTAGATAGTGCTAGCCCATCCTAGAAAGTGCCTGGCACATAGTAAGTGTTCAATAAATAATTGCTCAGGAATGGATTTGAGGCATATCAAGAGGTCCCTCCAAGCAAAACATCTCATCCACCAGTGTGATGGTGTGAAACTTGGCCGGGATCCTTAAGTCTTTTGGTTTTTCAAATGTTCTTGTTTGAATACGAGAGAGGATAAAGTACCTTAAACTTTATCAGTTAACAGATTAGCAAGAGTTGGTTAAAGCTTTGTTCATCTTTGGGAATGAAAAACAGAATGGTATAAGGATGGAAAGAAGAGAGGTTATGGTATCAGGAGGAAGAATGGGGAGGGGGCAGATAGATAACAGTAGCATCCAATTGTGTGAAACTTAGTGGAGAAAGTTAACACATTCTGGCTATGGAAGCAGATCAGCTCTAGCCTTGCCAACGCTTACACTTCATTTCATTAATAAGGAAAACGTTGTTTATTGAGAGCCCTGCTATCTGTTTGGTATAGTACTGGGCAGGTGCTGTCATACATATTAGCTTAATCAACTTTCAACAACCATAAGAGAGAGGTATTATCATTCTCATTTCACAGTCAAGGGAATTAAAAGTCATAGAAAGTCACAGAGCTGAGTAAGTGGTGGAACTGAAATGCAAACCCAAGTTTGTTACTCCAAACCACACCCTTTTGTCATGCTGCCAAGCTGGCTAACACACTTGGCAATGTAGTATATTTGGCAATGTGTTAGGAACTTGGCAATACTGGTGAATAATTCTGGCCATTGGCCCTCAATAAAAACCTTTAGTTGTGAAATTTTATTTCTGAACTATGGTGACAAGTATCTACAATTTGCATGACTGGCTAGAAGTTGTCTTTGAAACTAGCCTGAGTCTGCTTTGTCTTACCTTGTCAGAAAATAGTTTGCTTTGTGAGGTAGAAAGGATTGAAGAAAACCTGAGGCCCAGGATCCTGTGGGTCCTGTGACATCTCTCCTCTATACAATCTTTAAACCTTATAATCTAAATCCTGGGTTATAATTATAGAAGATACTCAAACAGCTAACTTTCAAATGGAAGAAAATTTGTAGGAAGAAAAATACAGAAGTACCATGGAACTGGACTCTTGGATTCACATTTTGGATAACTTCAAATTCACAGAAGATACTTAAAACAACATAAAAATTATTCAGTGTTCCGTCATACGGGGAAGGTGAGTTCTATCCTACCAGAATGGCTAAAATTAAAATACCAGCTGTTGGTGAGGATGTGGAACAACAGAAACTCTCATACACTCCTGGGAGCATGTAGCTTAGTAAAACCACTTTGGAAAACTGTTTAGTAGGATCTACTAAAACTGAACATGCACATATTCTAGGAACCAAGAATTCCACTCCCAGGTGTATAGAAATGCATGCTTATATGTACCGAAAGACGCATACAAAAATGTACATAGCAACACTATTCATAGTAACCCCAAACTAGAACCAACCCAAATGTGTACCAGTGATAGAATGAATATGTTGTACATGCATACAATGGAATACTGTTCAGCAATGAAAATGACTGGTCTTCTGCTACACCTAACATAAATGAATTTCATAAATATGTCAAAGTAAAGAAGTCAAACAGAAAAGAACGTATACTATATGATTCCCTTTATATAAACTTTAGAAACTGGCAAAACTAATCTATGATGTTAGAAGTCAGGATGTGGTTAACTGTAGGAGGAGGATTCTGGGTGCTGGTAATTTCTCCCCCCCCTTTTTTTTTTTGATGAGGAAGATTAGTCCTGAGCTAACATCTGTGCCAATCTTCCTCCACCTTATATGTGAGTCACTGCCACAGCATGGCTGCCAAGTGGTGTAGGTCTACATCCAGGATCCAACCCGTTAACCTGGGCCGCAGAAGCAGAGTGCATTGAATGGAATCACTGTGCCACAGGGCCAGCCCCCAATTTCTTTCTTTCTTTCTTTTTTTTGTGAGGAAGATTGGCCCTGAACTAACATCCACTGCCAATCTTCCTCTTTTTGCTTGAGAGGAAAAAGCAAATTGTTCCTGAGCTAACATCTCTGCCAGTCTTCCTCTATTTTGTATATGGGACACCACTACAGCATGATTTGATGAGCAGTGTACAGGTCTGCGCCTGGGATCCAAACCTGTAAACCCTGGGCCGCCGAAGTAGAGCATGCAAACCTAACCACTGTGCCCCTGGGCCGGCCCCCTTAATTTCTATTTTTTGAACTAGATGGTGAATACATGATTTTGTTCATTTTCAAAACTTATCCAGCTGTATACTTTTGAATATTTTACTTTTCTATATGAATATTATGCTTTACTTAATAAAAAATCACCAACACTTGACAGAAATAAGGATGAGAGTATATGGAAAGATGGGATCATTGATGCCTCTGAGTTAATCAATGGTTTAGAAGATTTGTACTCTGAATGTCAAGTGGTAGGAATACCCTTACCAATTTACTTCACGGATGTTTTCCTTTTTATGTGTGCACAAAATGATATAAGATTAAAGATTTCTTTCAATAAGCGCAAAATGAAATTTACGTGGCAAAAAAAAATGTTGCCACATCTGAAGCTCTGAAAAATCATGAATGAAATCTTTTAATTACCATATTTATCTGCATACCTTCACTTCTAGAACTCCCTCAATTTTCAAGGAGAAAAAGTATAGAATTTTTCTAATAACAAACAATAATTATAACTATTATTTATTGGCACTTATTATATATTGGCACTGTGCTAACATTTTACTTGCATTATCTACTTTAATCCTCACAGGAACTGCATGAGTTAGGAATTTATTTTCAAAAGCTTTCAAAATTATAAATGTGATACTTTCTGGTTGTTAAAACTCAATAAAACATATGTCCAGGGGCCGGCCCAGTGGCGCAGCTGTTAAGTTCGCACATTCCACTTCAGCGCCCTGGGGTTCACCAGGTCAGATCCCAGGCGTGGACATGGGACCGCTTGGCAAGCCATGCTGTGGTAGGTGTCCCACATATAAAGTGGAAGAAGATGGGCATGGATGTGAGCTCAGGGCCAGTCTTCCTCAGCAAAAAGAGGAAGATTGGCAGCAGATGTTAGCTCAGGGCTAGTCTTCCTCAAAAAAAGAAAAAGTACATCCAGTAAGAAATGCAAATACTTGGCATGTCTTTTCCCCATAGATGTCACTGCTGAACAAGATAGTATGTGTCCTTCCTGATCTTTTAAATGTATATGGAAACACACATGTACACAGAAGAGAGGTCAGTAATTACTGGGATCATATTATAAATACTATGAGTTGCTTTACTTACTCTATGAGTTGCTTGACTTACTTTAATTGTATCTCTTGGATCTTTTCCCATGTCAGTCCATAGATCTATCTCATTCTTTTAATGACTTCAGTGAGTATTTAACCATTTCACTATAAACAGCTACTCAACCAGGAGCTCTACTGACTTTTTGGACTGTATAGTTTTTCAAAGACCCTTTGCATTGTGGGAAGTTTACCAGAATTCCTGGCCTCTACCCACTAAAAGCCAGTAGCATACCACCTCTCACCCACCCACTCACTAACCCACCTTGTGACAAACAAAATGTTTCAAGACTTTTTGCCCCTTCGGAGACAAAATCCTTCCCTCCCACCAGCATGGAGAACCAATGGTGTAGAAGGGTATTTCTGTTGTTATTTTCAACAGTGTAAAAGGGATTCAATGATCATCTTGGTATTATTATTATTATTTATTTTTTTTGAGGAAGATTAGCCCTGAGCTAACTACTGCCAGTCCTCCTCTTTTTGCTGAGGAAGACTGGCCCTGAGTTAACATTGGTGCCCATCTTCCTCTACTTTTTTTTTTTTTTTTTTAAAGATTTTATTTTTTCCTTTTTCTCCCCAAAGCCCCCCGGTACATAGTTGTATATTCTTCGTTGTGGGTCCTTCTAGTTGTGGCATGTGGGATGCTGCCTCAGCGTGGTCTGATGAGCAGTGCCATGTCCGCGCCCAGGATTCGAACCAACGAAACACTGGGCCGCCTGCAGCGGAGCCCACGAACTTAACCACTCGGCCACGGGGCCAGCCCCCATCTTCCTCTACTTTTATATGTGGGACACCTACCACAGCATGGCGTGCCAAGCAGTGCCACGAACGCCGGGCCGCTGAGAAGTGGAGCGTGTACACTTAACCACTGCGCCACCGGGCTAGCCCCTGGATTCAATGATCGTCTTGGTATTATTTACCACAAATCACATTTACACATGAAAAAACTAGGCTAGGAAGGTTGATCTGCCCAACGTCCCACTGCTGTAAGTAGTAAAGGTGAGACATGAACCTAGTTCTGTTTCCTCCAGAATTTAATATCTTTTCCGATCCTACTATACTTTTACTACCCAATAGGTGGTTTTAGAGACCACTTTAGAGGAGACAGTCAGAACAGTGACTATTACTACTTGCTGAGAGTAAAATAAATATTAAAGATATCTTAGCTCTGACAAACATCCTTCAGGTTCTTCTGACAGAACTAGGAGTTAAAGCTTTTCAGCTTTCTAAAGGTGCCCAGCAGAACAAGTCATTTATAATAAACATTTAAACTAAATAGACAACTTTATGAATTTTCAAAACAGATAGCTAATATAGTATCACCATAATTAATATATTTGACTATGCTGAAGTGCCCTGAGAGCTAAGCTAATTTACAGGCTGGACCAGAATCAGGCTTCTAGGTCTTCATGGGCCAGGCAGCTGTGCTAGCATCATCATTAATGAGTACAGCTTTGTGTCAAGCGCCTATTGTGTGCAGTAGCACGTTACTAGTCCCTCATACTCCAGACTTCATCCCCAATGTTGAGCAGACATCTTGTAATCCTGAGCAGTTGATAACAAGGCAAATCAAGCAACAGATGGAAAGTGCAACAAGTTCAAAATTGATATGGCTGTTAAGATTGACTGAGTACTTATTATGCACCAAGTATTTAAATCAGCTGTTATCTCATTTCATTCCACAAATATTTAAGCACCTACCCTACTATGTGCCAGATGGGGCACCAGGTGCTAGAGATACAGGAGTAAACTAGAGGTACAGAGCATGCCTCTATAAAAGCATGTGAAAGACATTAAATAACTATTTGTTTAAATAACTGTGATTAATGGGAGAAAATGTAACAAGGTAGAGGAATGGGGAAGTCTTCCATAAAAAAATTACGTTGAGCTCTGAGGATGGAGTATGAATTAACATTCAAGACCAGCAATAATGTGTGTGAAACTCACAGGCTATTGAGGTTAGACGGTGGTATAGTTGAGGACGTGAGAGAAGACAACTATGGCCAGGGTCTGATCACGCAGGGCATATTGGGTCATATTAGGGATTTTCATCTATGCTCCTAAAAAATCCACAGAAAACCACTGAAGGATTTTTAAGCAGTGGAGTGTGATGATTACATTTGAGTTTCCTATTCTATTTGCTCTATTATTGTTACTATTATCTCACCCTTACAGAAAAGAAAATCAGAGGGGGCCAGCCCAGTGGCAGAGTGATTAAACTTGTGCGATCTGCTTTGGTGGCCCGGGGTTCACCAGTTCGGATCCTGGGCACAGACTTATACACCACTCATCAGCCATGCTGTGATGGCATCCCACATAGAAGAACTAGAAGGACTTACAACTAGGATATACAACTATGTACTGAGGCTTTGGGGAGGAAAAAAAAGAGGAAGATTGGCAACAGATGTTAGCTCAGGGCCACTCTTCCTCACCAGAAAAAAAAAAAGAAAGAAAATCAGAGACCAAGTCTTAGAAATTAAACTATCTTGCCTACTACAATATATTCTTTTGCTACTAGAAAATAAGATCAGTTGAGTCAGGGTTATTCTTGTCTCTGTCTTCCTAACAAGTAATGACTCCTTCATAGCATTGGCCTTAAAATTTCCCCTTACGGGGGATTATGGGACCTCTGGTTAAACAAGGAACCAAGGCCTTAACAGCTTAACAGAGGATATGTTACTATTGATGCTGCTTCTATTTTGTTCTTTAATTTTCATGCCTGTAAAATGAGAATATTTCTTCTGATGAATGATGAAGAATAATACGATAAATAGTGATTGCTAATAGAGTTCTCAGAACAAAACATTCCCAGTGATTCTAATATTAAGTCCAAGCAACGACCATTTATGGGCTGTCATTTTAAAATCTGTCTCCTTGAACACATTATCCCTAAATTCACTGCTTTCTTATATTACAGGTGAAGTAATCTCCATAAGAGCTGAGCTGAAACTTCCCAGAAGGTCTCTGACAACCACATGATTGCCTCACCCCATTCTGCCATTACCTTGGTCACGAATTTCTCTCAGGAATTTGTCCTACTGCACAATTCTTGCCTTTTAACTAAGCTACCTCCCACTTTCACTTTTCACATTATATTTCTTGTTTGTTCAGTTGTCTCCAGGAAGTAACCTCAAACGATATTTTTCAAAGCCGTGTTTAATTCCCTGGCCTCAATTTTACAGGTTTTATTTGTTAAGTCATTCATTTCAAAGTATAATTTCTCCGAGTCTCTAGTTTCTTCATCTGTAAAATGTAAGGAATTTGGATTTCGATACTCCCTTCTAGCTAAATATTTCTATGATATTTTTACTCTTCTCATTATTCAAATCCAAGAGTAGTAATTTGAGAAATATGATCAATGAGTTGCATTCACCCCTTCACAGCTCCAGAGAACCTTCTTTTCTGTAACTTGATACCAAACATTTCATATTTTGCCCACACTGTTGGCTTTTGAAAGAGTGAATACAGCCAGGCTTCTTTCAACAGCGCTGAATGAGAGCATCCATTGTTTACCAGCAGGGCTCAAGAACCAAATATTCTAGTTTAACAATTCGGAGAGAGTGACACAAGTGACAAGATCCATTTCTGCTTGGTTTTGGTAATGTCAAAAATGCCTTGGGGCATTCAGATCCCAGGTGTGAACATGGCACCGCTTGGCAAGCCATGCTGTGGTAGGAGTCCCACATATAAGGTAGGGGAAGATGGGCACGGATGTTAGCTCAGGGCCAGTCTTCCTCAGAAAAAAGAGGAGGATTGGCAGCTGTTTAAAAAGGTGTTTTGTATCTTGCCCTTTTATTTGAGTGTCCTCTTCAAAGATCATGGGGGGAAAAGTCATGCTTTTGGAAGACTGCTGTTTCACCTAATCTCAGTCATCCAGCTTCTCTTTCCACTAGAGAGAGCTGAGGCTTGAGTACCAACAAAAGAAATGCCTTACCATTAGGACTGTTGGGGCTCTGAATGAGCTACCATTCATTTCACTTCAGAGGAAGAGACATCTAGACTTTCCTTATCCCTTAAAGACCTCCACATGGACTGGGTGAATTTTTATTGAATTGATTTGTTTTCATTTCTGAAGCTCCCTTGTTCTACCCCTTGACTGATTTTTCTTTTTTTTTTTAAAGATTGGCACCTGAGCCAACATCTGTTGCCAATCTTTCTTTTTTTTCCTTTTTGTTCTCCCCAAAGCCCCCCAGTACATAGTTGTGTATTCTAGTTGCAGGTCCTTCTGGTTGTGCTATGTGGGACGCCGCCTCAGCATGGCCTGATAAGCAGTGCCATGTCCACGCCCAGGATCCAAACCACTGAAACCCTGGGCTGCCGACATGGAAAGCGCAAACTTAACCACTTGGCCATGGGGCGGGTCCCCACCTTGACTGATTTTTTATGCTAAATTTTAATCATTGGCTTAAAACAAGTTACAAAATCAGTTGCTAATAAACTTAAATTGTAGAAAAGTCAAGAATAAATAAATAAATGTCATAGCCCCCAGTAACTTGCTATAATTCTATGTTCAGGTCAACAGATATGTTTGGCAAATTATTATCTCTAGTACAATAAAAACCTTTTGGAGGGGCCAGCCTGGTGGTGTAGTGGTTAAGTTTGTGTGCTCATCTTTGGCGGCCTTGGGTTCATGGGTTCAGATCCTGGGTGCGGACCTATGCACTGTTCATCAAGCCATGCTGTGACAGCATCCCACATACAAAATAGAGCAAGACTGGCATAGATGTTAACTCGGGCCCAATGTTCCTCACCGAAAAAAAACATTTTGGAGACTGTAATAACAAAGACTAACAGCCTCATTGTTATGCTTTATTGTTGGGCCTGAATTCTATTGGTATTTTCCATCTGTCTCCTCAGTCTCCCTGTAGCTAGCTATTCTCTTTCTTCTTCCCACCCCAATTTCCTAGCACAAGACCTGAAGCCAAGAAAGCATCAAAAACCCAAGATTGATGCTTTCCTCCCCTAGAAAGCTGGTGATTTAGAACCAAGTAGAAGAGATGTAATGGAATTGATTATCAGGCAAACGTAATAAAACCAGAAGCATTAGGAAGGGATCATCTATTCAAAATAGAATTCCATACCTTCTCTTTGCCCTCCGTGACAAAGTTCCAAAATTTATTTAACTAGAAATAACGCCTTTCAGGAGCCTGCCCTGTGGCTGAGTGGTTAAGTTCTTGTGCTCTGCTTTGGTGGCCCGGGTTCACCAGTTCAGATCCTGGGCATAGACCTACATATGTGCCACTCATCAAGCCATGCTGTGGCAGCATCCCATATAGAAGAGCTGGAATGACCTATGACTAAGATATACAAATATGTACTGGGGCTTTGGGGTGAAAAAACAAAAGAGGAAGATTGGCAACTGATGTTAGCTCAGGGCCAATCTTCCTCACCAAAAAAAAAAAAAAAAAAAAAAGCATTAAAAAAAAAAGAATGCCTTTCAGTACCTACTTAGAAAAGACAGAAAAATTACGAATATCACTCTTACAGGTAATTTGTTGACTTAATTTTACTTTACACTATGCTATGGTTTGAATGTTTGTGTCCCCCTCAAAATTTATGTTGAAATCCTAATGGCCAATGTGATAGTATTAGGAGGTGGGGACTTTGGGAGCTGTTTAAACCCCAAGGGTGGAGCCCTCATGAATGAGATTAATGCCCTTATAAAAGAAGCCTGACAAAAACTGAATAGGATATGGCCTTGCCCTTGAGGAAATCACAAACCTGGAGAGACCAATCTATAAAACTAATTATAATACTAATATGATATGTTTATTAGTTAAAAGAAAGACAACATACAAATTGCCTCCTGCCATCCATTGGTGCAGTGTATCAAGCATTTCAAACTATGGAAGACAAGAATAACTACAAAGGCAATGAAATTGGGTGGTTTTTGCCAAGGTGCACTGATGCTCCTTGGAAATAAACTAGATGCCGGGGGAAATTAACATGGAAAAGACAAAGAGGCCTGACGGAGCTCCCTAGGCCCTTCCAGCACGTGAGGACACAGCAAGAAGCTGGCATTCTGCAACCCTGAAGAGGGCCCAAATCTGCTGGTGCCATCATCCTAGATTTAACAGCCTCCAAAATTATAATAAATAAAAGTCTGTTGCTTTTAAGTTATTCAGTTTCTGGCATTTTCTTATAGCAGCTCAACCAGACTAAGACACATTATTTTTCCAGAAAGCTGGTTTTGTCAGGACAGACTGCCATTTCAGAGAGAAGAAGGGAATGACTTACTGGGAAAGAAGATGAGTTGGGGGACCACTGAAGATAAATTGCCTGATTCAAAATTTTTCCTGGGGCCAGCTTTGAGCGTAGTTCAGATGAGTGGAAGACTTGAATCCACTCTGTTTAAGCAAGGCTCTAAACGGGTCCCAGAATTCACTCTCCATCGTTCCTTCCAATCAGACACAAATCTGAAGGATACAGGTAAGACATACGCAAAGGAGAATACTAAATACTATATCCTTACTTTAGGGAACAAAGCCATTTTACATTTGAGTCAAATATGTACCATGCTATGTATTTTATGAAGTGATATAGCTATTAAGACCATTTTAAAGTGATGAAACTGAGATTCTGGGAGGCCATGAGGTATGTCATCTGTCACTCAAGTAATACACATAAAGCTAAGATTCAAATATGAGGATGTCCAACACCTCAGGCCATGTTTCTTTTTTATACCTTACCTTACCTTTTTTTTTTTTTTTTTTAGGAAGATTAGCCCTGCACTAACTGCTACCAATCCTCCTCTTTCTGCTGAGGAAGACTGGCCCTGAGCTAACATCCATGCCCATCTTCCTCCACTTTATGTGTAGGACGCCTACCACAGCATGGCTTGCCAAGCGGTGCCATGTCCGCACCGGGGATCTGAACCAGTGAACCCCAGGCCGCGAAGCGGAACGTGCGCAGTAACCACTGTGCCACTGGGCCAGCCCTATACCTTACCTTCTTAACCTTAAAGTTACTGTATGCTTATTCATCTAATAGTTCCCCAAGGCCCCATTTCTCCAGTCCTAAATATCCTACTCTTATCATTATAAAGTATTGATATAAACAGTTAGCAAACCTGTATTTAGGATAATTAATCCAAAGAAAAAATTCAAAAGGCAGTATTTTACTAAATTTAAACATCACTTCAAAAAGAACCACTGACACTTGGAGTACATTTTACAACAAATCTCATGACCAAGTATTAACGTCTACTCTAGGCAAAATTATGAAGTAGCTTGACTTTGTCTCTCAAGACTTCAACAACATAAAGTCTGCATCTTATCACATCTTAAGAAAGATCTGAAAATCATTTGCATTCAGGATTAAGTACTTCAAAATAAATGCAGGGCTTTACTTTTTATAGGATTTAAAGCTTTAAGGTGCTGCCTGACTCTTCAGACCCTTGTGTATGTTTACAGGTATCATGAACTTTAAGAAGGAGAGCATCTTGCAAAAATATTTGACCACAGAACAAGTTTTTTCTCCGCATAGAATCTCAAGGAATTCACTTTGGGAAATGCTAGCTCACAGGCTACTAGCCAAGGTTTCCTTGCAACTGCAATAGTTGAATTTTCTTCTATGTATCCCTAATGAGTCAAAATTATAAATGAATGATCCAAAAATGAAATTATGAAAACAATTCCATTTACAGTAGCATCAAAAAATAATAAAATACTTGGAATAAATTTAACAAACAAGACACAAACTTATATTCTGAAAACTATAAAATGTTGAAGAAATGAAACAAGATCTAAATAAATGGAAAGACATCCCATGTTCATGGACTGGAAGACGTAGTACCGTTAAGATAACAATAACACCCAATGATCCATAGATTCAGTGCAGTCCTTAGCAGGATCCCAGCTGGCTCCTTTGTAGAAATTGACAAGCTGATTCTAAATTCATATGAAGCTCAAGGGACCCAGAATAGCCAAAACAATCTTGAAATAGAACAAAGCTGGAAGACCCACAAATCCCAAATTTCAAAACTTACTACAAAGTAGCAGTAATCAAGATAATGTGGAAGTGGCAAAGGATAAAACTATCAATGAAACAGAGTTGAGAGTCCAGAAATAATCCTTATATCTATAGTCAATTGATTTTCCACAAGGGTACCAAGAATATTCAATATGGAAAGAATAGTGTCAACAAATGGTGATGGAACTGGACAGGCACATGCAAAAGACTGGACTCTAATTTCACACCACATACAAAAATTAACTAAAAAATGGATCAAAGACCTAAATGGCAGAGTCAAAACTATAAAACTCTTAGAGAAAAACTTAGGGATAAATCTTCATGTCCTAGGATTTGGAATGAATATAACATAAATATAACGTCAAAAGCATAAGCATCAAAAAATTGGACTTCATCAAAATCTAAAACTTTTGTGCTGTAAAAGATACTATCAAGACAGTTGAAAAAACCACCCATAGTATAGGAGAAAATATTTGTAAATCATGTATCTAATAAGAGATTTGTCTCCAGAATATATAAAGAACTCTTACAATTCCTAATAATAAAAGGATAAAATTTTAAAAAGGACAAAGGATCTGAATTGACATTTCTCCAAAGGTAAGCAAATGACCAATAAGCATATGAAAAGATGCTCAACATTAGACACCAGAGAAATGCAAATCAAAATCAAAGGGGCTGGCCCAGTGGTGCAGCAGTTAAGTTCACACATTCCGCTTCTCGGCAACCTGGGGTTTGCTGGTTCGGATCCCAGGTACAGGCATGGCACCACTTGGCAAAAAGCCATGCTGTGGTAGGCGTCCCACATATAAAGTAGAGGAAGATGGTCATGGATGTTAGCTCAGGGCTAATCTTCCTCAAAAAAAAAAAAAAAACCACAAGATACCACTTCACACCCATTAGGATGGCTATAATCAAAAGTCAGATAATAATAAGTGTTGACAGAATGTGGAGAAATCAGAATCCTCATACACTGCTGATAGGAATGTAAAATGGGACAGCTACTTTGGAAAACAGTCTGACAGTCCCTCACGATTTAAACATAGAATTACCATTTGACTCGGCAATTCTACTCCTAGGATATACCCAAGAGAACTGAAAACATATGTCCACACAGAAGCTTGTACATGAATTTCCGTGGCAGCATTATTCATAATATCCAAAAGGTGGAAACTACCCATGTGTCCATCAACTGATGAATGAATAAACAAAATGTGGTAT